TAGGCATCTGTCACCGCAGCTTGCATGAGTATTTATTTTTAAGAGAAGTTGGTTAGTCGTGCCTTTTTGTCTGTGGCAGCAGAGAATGACACAATTATTAGAAAGCTACTTGGCAAATTAGATGGGATGTTACTAAGTGCATACTTGTATGTGCACATGCCTGTGGAGGCCAGAGGCTGATGTCAGTTGTCTTCCTCAATCATTCCCACCTTATAAATTTATCTACATATGTATTTTAGATAAGGTCTTTGCATCCCCAGCTGGCTATATAGACCAGGGTGGCCTGAAACTCACAGAGATTGACCTGCCCCTGCCTTCAGAGTACATCAATACACTGGGCCCTCCTTAGTTTTAATAAAAAGGACAAAGGTCTCTCACTGAATCTAAAGCACATCGATCTGCTAGGCTACCTGGGTAGTGAGCTCTGGGAATCAGCCAGTCTCTATTCCCCATTTCTGAGGTTACCAGACGTAGGCACTGCTAAATCGTGCTTTTACAGCAATGCTGGGAATCCAAACTTATGTTCTCATACTTTTTTGTGACAGGCACTTTACTGAACTGAGCCATCTCCCCAGGCCTCAGAATCCTTTCTTTTATTGCTCTCTTGGCCATTAATGTTTCACATAGAATTTTCTTCTAAAGAAAGCATCTAAGAGGGAAAGACAATGTTGAAACTCCTCTTACAGCTTTGCTGACCAAGTGGAAATACTGGAAACAATCTCAAAAGAAAACCAAGACCCTGCATCCTCTCCACAGAAAGCACTCAGCATGAGGGTAATCATGAAGTACTATAGGAAATGTTTACAAGTTAGCATGCAAAGAAAATCAAGACATGATAGTACTTGTGTTGGTATTGTCATATCTAAAAAAGGATGCCAAGGGAGAAAACAGGAAAGGGTGACAATAGCGGGCAGGAATTGTTGCATAAGGAATAAGATTTTACTTATTAAGGATTTCACTTATTCCTTATGCAACATCCTTTCCCCAATTATTAACATCACAGGAGAAAGGGGGAAGGCATTAGGGTTGCTACAAAACATTAGCCAATTCACACAGCAATCAATGTCCTATCTTAGGAACCTTGTAAGTGAAAATCCAAGTTAATTAAAGCCCTTAAAGTGATATGAACTCTCATGGAGTGGACACTGTAAAAGATACCAATCAGAAACTCTTTTGATGCTTCATTTTATTAGGAAGTTGGGAAAGACACATTTATTAAATGATACAAGGTGGTAGGGATGTGGCCTCAGGGAGTGACTGTCAAAGTATGGGTCTGGATACCACATGCTCCTGAAAACATTATTCAGGGACAAGTAGCACTGCCATATAAGATGCAGTCTAGTTCAAGAAAAGCCAGAAATTCAGATTGATTGCAAAACTGCTTCATTTTTAAGGACAAACAAAACATCTGCAAACTGGATATAGCTGCTGATTGCCAAAACATACTCTAAATGCCCTAAGCCAGGGGATGTGTTGACCTTTGGAGTCAAGTGGGCCTCAAGAAGATTCCCTCTAAGGATGTAGAAATATATAGGATAAGGAGGCTGAGGAAAAAAAAATCCTAACCAATTTGCACCCTGCTTGGGAAGACAGCTAACATGTTTACAACCTAACTGAGTTTCACTCAGTCTTACCAGTTTGCTCTTGACTCATCTGGAAATGATCATTGGAGGCTATGTGGACAGTAGTCCTTACAAAACAAGAAGATCAACTTTGCTTTTCAGTCCCTCAAGCCAGCAACTCAAACACAGGGCACACAAACGTCATTACTCACAAAGAAGCTACCAAGGGTTTCCTTAGGCTTGTTTGGGAAGAGACCCCTCCTGACTGACTATACAGCTACACATGGCTTACTGTGGTTATTACTGTGGTATGTCAAAGACAGCAGTCCTGTCTACTGCCCACCTCACTGCCCTACTGCGGTTTTGGAAGAACAAATAAGCCTAAGCCAGAGACTAAAAAAACCCCACACTGCCCTTGCGCTGAGTCAAAAGCCCTTTATACTACAATTTTCCCTGACCCACTGTGCGGAAGCAGTTGTTACCTGGCCACAAAACTGGCAGTCTTGTCAACGATATTTCTGACTTCTGGAGGAGGGTAAATGATCCCTACCACTGGCTTGGAAGGGGTGGAATCTTCCTTTGTCGATGCTTCTTCTTCAATTGGCTGTGAAAACAGAAAAAGTGTCTTCAAGTACCTGGTTTGGGTTAGGGTATCATAAACCCTACACCAGACCTCAGCATTTCTCCACAGTCTTTGTCCTGCAAACTTCCTTGGGTTAGGATCTGAGGAAGCAGTTAAAAACAAAACAAAATAGTACAGTATTTATATGAACATTCCTAAGAACTAGGGAAAAGAATGGCTTCCATGGCTCCCCTCTAAACAGATTAGTGGGATAAGATCTGCATTTTAAAAAAATCTGTTGAAGAGCTAGGTCTCAAACTCAGAGCCTTACATATGCTAAGCAAGGCACTGAACTACATCCTTAGTCTCCAAATCTGCATTTTTACAAAATGTCCATGTGATTCAGATTCAGGGATGTTGACTACTATCTAAGAAACCATATTCCAGAATCCAAAAGGCTGTGTCTTTAGCCCTGAAACTAGTATTATTGTGTCTGACATAGAATACTTGCTGACTGCCTGTTAAGAAAGCAAGAAAGCCAGAGAGCAGCTCAATGGTTTAAAGTGTTTACCATGCATGGGATTCTGGAGTCCAGCCTTAGCATAAATAGAAATAAAGAGAGAAGAAAAAAACCTGGCCGACAGCTCATTCTGTCCGTTTTCTCTACATCCACTCCATAAACTCAGGCACTGTTAAGTGCATGTTTTGTGAGCTTCAGTCAACACCAACAGTCCTGTAATGCTTTATCCAGCAGCTTCTCTCTCAATTAAGAACTGGGCTCTCATCTTAGAAAAATAAAGATTTCTATCCGCCTTCATATTCCTTTGGGCTGCTGACTTCCCTGTTCATCCTCTGGCAGCTGACCATCCTAAATTCCTATTTCATCTCCTATTTGGTTTCCATTCATTTCCAGTATCCTCAGCCAAGTAAAAAACAAACTACACCTGCAGGTGTCTTCTAGCTTCTGTATTTTACCTCCTGCCTATAACAATGGAAACCTCTAAACCAGTGGTTTTCAACCTATGGGTTGTGACCCCTCTGGGGTCAAATGACCCTAAAACCATCCTGCATATCAGATTACATTATACTTCCTAACAGTAGCAAAATTAGGTCTGAAGTGGCAACAAAAATAATTTTATGGTTGAAGATCATTACAACACAGAGGATTGTATTAAAGGGGTGCAGCGCTTAGGTCACGAACAATGGCTCTAAACACTTGGCTTATGATCTCTTCCCAGTATTCACACTGTCCTCAGTCAGACATCTTTGAAAACTAGGTTCTACACTATTTATTTATCTATTTATTTATTTATTTATTTACTTACTTACTTACTTATTTATTTAATGTGTGCTGGTGCTTTGCCTGCATTTATGTCTGTGTAAGGTTGTTGGATCCCCTGGAACTGGAGCTACAGACAGTTGTGAGCAGCACCATGTGGGTGCTGGAAACTGAACCCAGGTCCTCTGGAGGAACAGCCAGTGCTCTTAGCCATTGAGCCATCTCTCCAGACCCTGTTCTACACATCTTTTCCCTACTTTAGGCTGAAAAATCCTGCCTAAATCAATCTCCTAGGTAACTTTCGAATGCCACCAAGCTTTAGAACCAAAACTCCCGAGCACTTTCATCCCTAACCTATGAATGGCTTTCCAGTCACATAAGCCAGAAATCCAGGCCTCCTCAGTCTTTCTCAAACACGCTCTTATCAAACTCAGTCTCATCAAATGCACAGCACACCCCAGGCACTTTAACTGTATTAACTCTTAGGATCCTAATGACAGCCCTGAAAAGTGCTCTTATTCCCACATTACAGACAACCAAACAGGAATGGCAAACTTGTGCCTGTCCCTATGGCAGGCAACTCAACTCTCACTCCTTCAGACTTCCTTTTTATTTATTTCCCCTTCTACTCCAGCAAGCAATAGTGATTAAATGTAGGGTTTATTTGTATTCAACTCATGATCCTCCTGCCTCAAACTCACAAATGCTAGAATTACTGATACACGTCATATGCCTTGCCTTAAGAACTTTAAAGGTTGCCTGGCACCATTTACACTACCGAAGACAATGGTTTTTTTTTTTTTTTTTTTCCACTAGTCTGGGCTCTCTCCTACAGCCGGGGTTATGCCTCATTCATTGTGTAACGATGAAGACTGGCACCTTTTCTGGTTTAGGGAAAGCACATCCTTGGTGGGTTTTTTGTTTTGTTTTTCTTTTTCTATTAATTCTTATTTTTTTTTTATATTAACCACAGGTTACTTACTTTGTATCCCAGCCGTAGACCCCTCCGTCATTCCCTCCCAATCCCACCCTCCCTCCCTTGTTTTTCTTTTTAAATCCAAAAGACATACTGCAGACTAGGAAATTAGAGATTACTGGACAAAGGCTGAGCGACTGGTAGGCCTAACTACGATAGTGAACACGCTGTCCTAATGCTTCTCACACTTTAACGAGACACCTTGGGATTTGGTTGAAATACAGATTCCTTAGGAGGTTTCGTGATTCTAACAGGACCCCGGGTGAGGCCGAGGCTGCAAGCCCGCAGGCTCATCTGAGAACTCCGGTTCAAGGGAGCTTTTTTTTTTTTTTTTTTTTTTTTTTTTTTTTTTTTTTTGAGACAAGAAAGCAGGGCAGCGCGCTGACTCCTGGGACTTGCAGTCTCTGGAAGTCCTTCAGGGCGGCCTGAGCTTCCAGCAGGAGTGCCGTAGCGCCCGCGCGGGAGGGGAGGGACGAGGCCTACACCAGAGCTGCAGGCTGAGGAGCACGGGGCGCGGTACCTGTTTGGGCTCAGTGGCTACTGGCGGCGGCGGGGGCACCGCCTGCACGGGTCCGGCCGGCATGACTGCGACGCTCAGGGCTGCCAGTCCGCCTCGGTGGCGACAGCCGGTGCGGCGGAGAGGTTAAGCTCCTCACACGAAGAGTACAACGCAATGGCAAGATGGCGGCGACCGAGAGCAAAGCCGCGGAGGCTGGTGAACACACTTCCGGCCCCGCCCCCGCCCCGTGTCGCACCTTCCGGCCCGCCCCCTAGGCACGGCGGCGTGGTACGTCGTTGCCATGGCAGCAGCCTGGGGCGCCTGAGAGTTTGGAGGGATCCCAGGAGTCGCAGGCGCTCTGGGGGAGGTTCCGTGAGCTGGCCGGACACACCGCTGAGGCTGCGACGCCAGAGACAGGTGAGCCACCCTGCATCACCGCTGGACTCCCCTCGCGACCCTGGCCGCTTCCTCGCTCCCTGCGACCGCACCTTCCAGCGCCGCCCCAGTCTTCCTTTCTGCTTGGCCTGTCTTAAAATGACAGAATTCTCCTCCCCTCAGACCTGTTGCCGTAGCCACACCTTTAGACCCCTTTTTCCGTTCACCACCTCCACCAGATCCTTTTTACAGCCTGTGCCCGCAACTCCCTAGGGTCTTTCCACACTGGCCTCTGTGCCCTTAACCTCCATGGCTCCGCCCTCAAGCCCTACCTCCTCCAATCGCACCTGTTCTCTCTCTCTCTCTCTCTTTCTCTCTCTCTCTCTCTCTCTCTCTGTCTCTCTCTCTCTCTCTCTCTCTCTCTCTCTCTCTCCCTCCCCATCCCTTCTCCCAACTTCTGGAGGGCTGCACTGTCTCACCAGGGGCAGTTGCCAAGTCAACACATGGGAAATATGAGTTAAATGTGTTTGTTTGTGTGTGAGTATTATTCCTTGTAGGGCAACTCAGGTATAGTTAGTGGTTCCTGAAGGATC